AAATGGAAGGATATCTTCTCATTTGGATTAGGCCCCCTCCCTTCCAAATTTTTTACTAACCAAATAGAGGAATTTTCACCCCTCCCCTCCCTTCAAACCAAACATACTATTATTAGAGAATATAAAGCCCTTTCCACCGGTTCCGGTAGCACAAAAATTATTTTGCAATCACTCAGCATCGTAACATTTTTTTGTTTTTTTTTTACTAACCTCCCGATGTTGGGTCGGATTAATCCAGAATCAAGCCGCATCAGATCCCATTTGGGGCAAACTCTCCCGGCACCTATTTCTCCATTCACAAGACTCAAACTCGAGACTTTACTTAAGAAAACCGAGTTAATTCCACTCAGAACAACAGGACTTTGGTCAGCATCATAACATCTACTCATAGCAGAAGTATACCATGAAAGCAAAATAAAAACAATAGAAGCCAGCCATCAAGGTTGTGAGGGGAAACCAATCAATTAAGAAAACAGTTACTGGAATTCATTCTTTTGATACATATTTCTAGTATTCTAGTATTCAGTTAAGCATCCCTAAACTTCCATTATTCAAGCTTTACCTCCTTTGGCAAGGATCATTCAAGCAACCAAAAATTGAAATTACAAGCCAAAGAGACGTTGATATCATAATAACAAATTCAGGATATCCTAAGAGCTAAAAGAAGAAATATGAGATCAGAAAACACACGTACGTGTAGGTGTAGGAGCGAGGAGGAGCGTGGCACTAATCCAGTTCTCGGGGACCTTGTGGTGTGGATCTTCCCCGGCAGATCCTTCCAGAAGCCGCTCATTATCTTCTGTGGGTAGGGCGAGCGGGCGTAGACATCCCCGCTTTCATCCTCACTGGCTGCTTCCCCATTTTCTTCTTTCTCCGAACACCAACTGGTCCTGGTTGTGTATTGGATCCCGAGTTCCCAATTGTTTCTATCTCCTTATTCGGCTGGGCCGCGTCACTGGGCTGGGCTGTTTAGGTGGTTAACTCTATACTTATATATATGTATATATATAAGATTAGTACGTATTTATTTTTATTTTAAAAAAATTAAAATTCATTTAAAGAAATTATAATTATAATTTAAATATTAATATTTAATAAAATAAACTTTTAAATTTTAAATTAAATTTTAATTTTTTTTAGCCCCAACTGCGTATATATACACTCTTACTCATTATCTTCAAAAAAAAAAAAAAGACTTACTTACTGGTCACGTCACTCATTGTCTATTGTTTTGTTAAGAATATTTAAAAAAAAAAAATTTATAATTGTGTCTAATATATTTTAATTGCCACACTCACCTGGGTTTTCGCAATTCATTTTTCTAATATTTTATTCGGACATCAATATCTAAGAAAATGTTATAATATGACAAGAGATGTTGACAAATTTTGACCAGAAACTAGATTCAAAGTTTCAAACGTCATCCCTACTCTCTACCATCATCCTTCTGCTTTTAAAAAACTACCATGGTACATTCTATAGTCTTAAATAAAAAAGATTCCTATTTGCAACTAAATGATTAATTATATGTAAGATGATAATCCTCTTATTTCTTAAATCAATCTCCATCTATATTTTAAGGTCCCAACCTCAAACATTCAGCCGGGTGTCATACGAACAAACAAGAATAAAATACTAATATATACTTACAAGTTATTGGAAATGAACAAGATCTCATTTCACCAAGTTGCAACAATGTACAAGCATACTTGCAAAAAAACCAGATGCAGCACGGTGGAAGGATGTTTCATAAGGGAGATAACCGAGAAAAAAAAAGAAGAAGAAGAAGAAGAAGAAGAAAAGCAATGAAACTTGATATTGCTTTTCTCACTCCACTCTATGGCTATCCCCACCGTCCATTCAATCCCCAACAACACTTCAACACCCAAAACAAAGAAAAATAAAACAAACTTTAATGTGTTCATATGTACAGAAACAGGCAACCAGCAAAATGTTGGGGGTCTGGGGCCGTGTAGCTATTTGCTTTCCCACATACCAACACCGGTGTTTGATTTTCAGTTCTCCACTTACTTACTCCATTGTCAACAAGATTCCTGAAATTAAAAAAATATTCACGTGAGTACACTCTAGTCACTCTCATCCAATAAAATTTTCTAAATTCACAAACTAATGTAAAAATATAAAATTGGCTACAAATCATATTTGAAATTTGACATCTAAACAACATTTGCGACAACAAATTACGTAGTGGTTGAGAAGTCATTCTCTTGAATTTTAATTACCAAAACCCAAAACCAAATTGAAAATGAACAGGTAATCAATCACGTCTAATCACCTAATCGTACCAAAGCTGCTTAATTAGACATAAATGACAGAAATTTTACCTAAAATTAACTTTAATCTCTGAAAATGACGCTGTCGGCGATCTCCATCAACGGCGTCAAGGTCTCCGGCGAGAATTTCCGAGCAAAGAAATACGAGTAACTGGAATTTGATTCCCTCAAGGTATGTATTAGCTCCGGCGATACCTCCAGAGCGTGGTAGGTGTGGGGATGGCCGTCGACACTGTCGGTCCAGTTCACTCTGGTTAGGGTATAGTGGCTGCACCCTTCGGGATCCGCCATTGATAATAGAGTAGGGAAATAATGTTCCTCGGGATAACATGAATTTAAATCCACACAGGGGAGTCTGAATTTCCTCCAGAGTTTTCTTTCTTTGAGAATAAGCAATGCGTGCCTTTTTGATAGGATGAAGAATTGGGATCCGACTTTGAACTGCTCGAAAGTTAGTTCCGGCAGCATCGCGTTCTTCCCCCGAGCAATGTAGCGGTTCTGTAAAGTTGGCTCATTGGCCAAGATCTCGATGAAGCTCTTGTGGGAGGGCTGGGATAGAAACGCCCTCGATTCCTCTGCCGGATTCCCGATTAGGGATTTGTAAATGTATTGAAAGGAATGGAGCGGAATGCAATGTTGGGACACCAGGGCAAAGTAGAGGTTCAATGGATCGTCGAGGATGGCGCGAGCGAGGAGGCGGCGCTCGGCTGAGATTAGGGTTGCGGAGGCGCGCTCTGTTCTCTTGGCAGGTATGAAATTGGCCGAAATTGCCCACTTTGGGGGAGGCACTTTGGAGGACGGATCGGCGTGGATGTAGATGTTGTAGAACTGATTGTGTCCTTGGAAAAACCGTTCCCACAAGGGGGCAAAGACGAGATCGGAGTTGGTGAGGAAGAGGAAGGCGATTTTGGGTTTGGGATGGGTAATACCCAGATGGGAAACCTTGAGGGAGGAGACGACGGTTGCCTGGTGAAAGAGGTGGAGATCGTCGAGCTCGTCCTCTAGAGAAATTGGGGATGGCTGTTTCCTCAAGGGAAAGAATTGAGGCGCAAAAAGGAAAAGCAAAAAGAGGGAAAGGAAAAGGGCAAAAGAATACAGAAACGGTGAGGACGATGATAACATTGTTGTCATCGAAACTGGACGATTCTGAATTCAAAACGATAGAATTTCCGGCGAGAAAATAAAGGGGAAAACAGAAAATCAAAGGGTTGATAGATCTTTGTATTTTCTAAAATTGGGGGTCTCTAGATTACTGTCAATGGAGATAGTTGGAGAAGAAAAAGGGGTGAACTTTGGTGAGAAGCATAAAAATGGGTATTTAAAAACGCAGTGACCATGTGCTGACGAAGGAGATTAGAGAGATGAGGGGGACAGGAGGAAGGGTAGGATGAGTAAAGAAGAAGGGAAGGGGATGAGGAACTTGGTAGTGTGGTGAGAGAAAAAGGACAGATTAGGAGATGAAGTCAAAAGAAGTGGGGACATCATGACATTTCTAGATCTTGGATCTTAATCTGACGGTCGCTTGTTTTTTACGTTCTCAGATGTTTGTTACGGCTGCGAGTTTTTTTTTTTCTTTTTTTCTTTTTTAATTTTTAATTAAAAATATGTCTGTTTTTTTCTTTTAAGATATATTTGGCACAGTACATGAAAGTTTTTTTGTTGTATTTTAAAAACTTTAATTATATTAGCACCTTGTTTTCGGGTCTACTGACAATTTATTAATTTAAGATGTATTTTTTTTTCATAAATAGGTTTCGAATTCGTTCTTTGACTACGTGTTAAAAAAAAAAGGAAAAACTTTAATTATATTAAATATTATTATTTATGAAAAATATTATAACTTATCATAAATTAATATTTTATTTGTTTCATTACAAATATTAGAAATATTGAATTTATGTTTTTGCAGGAATTTCTCTTTTAAGTTTTAATAAAATTAACCACATCATTTTTATTTTATCTTTATTTTTTTTATTTACAAAAACAACACTTTTATAACAATTTCTTTTCAACAAAAATTCGATTAAAAGTTTCAACCACACCAAACGGAGATTTATTAGTCAA